ATAGAAATGTAGTGGAGTGAAAAGTACAATATTTGTCTTTCAAATGTAGTGAAGTTAAAAGTCATAAGTTTCCAGAAAAAATAATACTCAAGTAAAGTACCGATACTCAAAAAGTGTACTTAAGTACAATACTCAAGTAAATGTACTTAGTTACTGTCCGCCTCTGAATACTACCCAAATCTTTCCATTTACATGTATGTTCTAGTGCTGGGCAATGATTAATCGCGATTAAACGCATCCAAAAATAAAAGTTTTTGTTTACATACATAATATATGTGTCTAAGGCCTCAAGAGTTTATGGGATCACTAATAAAATTAGTAGGAAGTCTTTCGCCAGTTGTGAAAACAGTGCTAACACAGTCAAAATAATATATCAGGGGCATTACAGAAACATTTTCAGTTAGGATGTCATTTAGAAAACTAGTCAGATCTTTACTAAAGTTTCTTTATTTACAGTCCCAGGTCAGTTCAGAAACGCCCTGAAACATTAGTCAAATCAACAAGCACATATTCGAATGTAGAGCAGTTTAGTGGGGGTTGTGGGTTCGAGTCTCGTACCGGCAGGGATTGTAGGTGGGGGGAGTGAATGTACAGCGCTCTCTCCACCTTCAATACCACGACTGAGGTGCCCTTGAGCAAGGCACCGCTCCCCGGGTGCTGCAGCAAAAAAATGGCTGCCCACTGCTCCGGGTGTGTGTTCACTGCTGTGTGTGTGCACTTTGGATGGGTTAAATGCAGAGCACTAATTCCGAGTATGGTCACCATACTTGGCCACGTGTCACGTCACTTATTATTATTTGCAATTGTGTGATCCAAATAAGGATTTGTTTAAATATAACAGGTGGATAAGCTGCCATACTAGTGGTCTGGTAATTCTTTTATGGCATAGAGCTACAGAAGTCTAGCTACGACTAATTTCTGGACAGAGTAAATAATTGTATTATTATTATTGTTATTTTTTTGTCATGAAGTATTTATTACTTATACAGTAGTGAGTGGCAAGAACTATGCATTTGTGACATTATGATTCAGAAACAGGGGTTCTGCCCTATTGATTTGCACTGTTGTCTGAACTTTTTTATTACATTTTTGCATGTACAGTGCTGCTGTGACAAATAAAACTTGACACATGCTACTCCAGTTTTGTAAAACGCAGTGGATGCCTCTGACACTGCCTCACAAAATAACTGATCTCGTGTAACGAAGATGGTAATAAAAAGAAAAGCATTGTTGTAAAGTGACACTGACATGAATTATCAAGGTTGATGATTGAACACGTCACGAGCTGATCCTTTGCACCACTCTTTTAGCATTATAGCAGATGGTGCAAATGCTCATCAATCCATCTGTCCTCTTAAAACAACCCCACGTTTTCCCAAATACCTTTTATTCAAATATCTAACCCTTCTCGGCGAGTCACATGATACACGCGGTCTTCATTGTAATTGTAAAAACGATAAAGTCTTCCGCGAAAGAAATAGTCTCCTGAATGTGATTTCTGGCTTGCATGAGCAAACATGTTCGTGCACGTTCGCTGATTTTCTACGTTCTGTCCTGATGACGTTCCTCGCCATTCACGCACAAAAGTTAGCCGTCGGTGGTGTGAAAAGGAGCGACTGTGTGCGTGTGTGTGCCACAAAGCGTGCGAATACGATTTGGCTCTGCGCACATCGTGCACGCACTCTGCAATGAAATCCACACACACACACACACACAGTTGATGCAGTACTGCTAGCAAGGGCGTTCAGACAACGAGTGAGACACACCCAGAGGAAAAATGGTCTCAACTAATGCGCAAATACAATCAAAAGGGCTTGAGAATAGCCCGCTTGCGCGGGTTGGCCAGATCGAGAGAAGATTTTTTTTTCTGTTTTCTTCAAGGGCAAAATGTCCTGGTATGAAGTGATTTCGAAATAACGTTGTAACACGACAGAGTCGCCAGTGAAATGCGCTCTCAACAAACAACCCAGCCGGTGCACTTGTGAAAACAATCATGCGCCAAGCAGTTGCTCTACAGTTTTTTTCTAAGGGGTAGCGGAGCGACACACAGACATGACATCAAATATAGGTAAAGTCTATTGCTTTTTGTTCGTTTTAAGAGTCAATAAATGGTATTATAATTGTTTGAATGTGTTGTATTTTGCGAATCAAGATGGCGCCGGGCACAGTCAGGTGACCTTGTTTTTTTCCCCCTCAATACCAACAATAGTCAAAGCAAGAAGCGGAAGTGAATGCTCCCCCTGAAATACGATTGGCTGGTTTGAACTGTAGGAAAAAGCGTGGGCCCGTGGTTGGAGTGTGCGATGTGGCAGTCAAGTGCATGTGACAAACTTGTTTTTAATAAGACCAGTGGCTACCGGTAACTTATGGGCTCTGCCATAGCGGGGCTCGTTTGGAATAATTAAACTACGCGGATGTATATCATATCACTGCTTTTCGCTTTGTATAAATGTTTTGTCTAGTGCATTTTGTTATGCAACCTTTCCTTGGTTCGCGCTGAAATATTATGCTTTATCAGTTTAAATCTTATTTACATAGCAGCGTTTATATACACAGGACTAACGTTAACGCATTTAAAACTCACTGCATGAAACCCCCCTTTTTTGTGAGATGCAGTGAGAAAAATCCGTTGTTTACTGCGTAAACTAGGAAAGAAATAAAGATTTTTTTTAGCGCGGAAAGCCTCAGTGGACGCCACCGTGCGTTCCCTCCAAAAGGGGGAGGGGTCGTGTTTTCCTGACGGTCTACTAATCCATCTGTCCAAAGTGACTGTACTTTTACATGCCAGGAAACTGTGTGCTTCGAGACAGAAAGCAGTAGTTTGACAAAAATATTTAACACGTGTACAGCCCTCGCTTACACGACCGTTGCATTTATTGTAACCAACACGCCAGCTTATTTCAAAATGTCTCTGTAGTCCTATAACGCCTATATCCTGGTCTAAGTGTGGATAAACCCACTCTAAACTAAAATAACTACCATATCCGTTTGGTCTCTGCGCCTTCGACAGTTCAGTTGATTTTATCGCATAGATGTCACCCTAAAACACATTCGGTGGATCAACCTAACAGTTCCTGTAACCCCACCCAGTTTGTGATCGACCGCTGATTGGTCGTCAGTGTAGTTGTGAGTGTTTTCACATTCCATTCCGCGCTTCTAATTGGTCACCGGTGACGACAATCCCACACCCAACTCCCACCCACCGAGACATCAAGTTTGTGAGACTCGCAATAGCTAGTTTAAGAGGCTATAGCTGAATGTGCAGCAAAGACTCCAAGTCTAACTGCGCTCTTTGGTTTAAATCACTCATTTAGAGTTCAATAAGATGGATATGAAAAAGAGAATTCACCTGGAGTTGCGGAACCGGACGCCGTCAGACGTAAGCATCTTTATTAATTGCTGAGTGATGTGATTTTAATAAAAACTGTTGGTTAGAGTAGTTCTGCGTGGATGGAAAACGCTAGATGTGCACGCTTCAAGTTGATGTCTTGAATGAAAAGTTTGCGGCGACTTTGTTACAAGCCTAGAGCCTTGGAAATTGTTATCTCAGTGTGGCCCATAAGTTTAACAGTTTTACTGATTATTTTTTCCCAACTTTTGCGAGACCTTTTGGTGATGCTGTGGTCGGAAACTGCAAGAGCTCAATGCTTTCAGTGTATAAACAAGGGAAGCGGCGTGAGAAGCCATATTTGTAACTTTGTAGCCCCTGAACGCGCCCTTTTCCTTTGCATCCTCAGTGCTGCAAAAGTCGCCTGCCGTCAGTTCATGCCTCTCTCACACTTTCGCACATCCATTTTCAATTCAACATTCATACTCGCCAGTCACAGTGGTCGTCGGCCAGTTCGCTAACTTGTTGTGGGACGCATTTTGTGAATTGCTGTGCAGACGATTTGACAGATAGCTTGCGATAACCCGATCGGTCAAATACATTTCGTGGCATATCTCCAGCAAAAGGCTTTTATTGACGAATTTGAGTCTAAATCGAAAGTATTTCCGTTCCTCAATCAAAGAAAGTTGTGTAAATACTTAGGCGGGATCTTTTCGTGGGCTTCTGGCACGTTACTAATAGTCGCCTATTTGATATATATATATATATATATATGGAAACGAGCATATCTAGTTGCGTAAAGGTGCTCAAACCTATTTAAAACTGCATTATTTGTCGACGACATTGCCGGAATGCAAAGAGCGAATCGGCACTCTCTCTTTCATAAATATCCTCCGTGTTTTTCTTACTATTTATCGATTCCCGCAAATATAACTACCATGTCTGATCAATTCAATGCAACGTTATCAAGGTCCCTGTTATTGCCCCTGTACGCATACCTACATACGCTGTAATAGAGCTCGTAATTAAAATGTCATAACCGTATTCTGAGCACTTCTGTGCGTCTCCACTGGCAGGATAAAGAGATTTTCAGCCGTGTGGCTCTGCTTGTTATTGACAGACTGGGCGCTTATGCGAGTGCTACGCAACTTGAAGCTGCGCTGCTCTAGTTGCAAGATCTAGGACAAGCCGCCATTTTAACCAGCAACAAAGACGCACGATATTTAATCGAGCAGAGAATCGTTGCCGCCGTTTCAATGCTTTGAACCGAACAGAACCGTTGAATATAGAGAGCCGAGCGTGTACGAAGCCTGAAATTTCATTTTTATTCCGTGAAAGTCGATACCTTTCGCTTAAAGAGCGACTCCGTTGCATTATCATGCGCCTCTCTGCCCCTCCTACTCGTGAATTCTTGGGTCCGTCCTCGTGTCTTTGCTCTTCCAAGACAATGTAATGCATTTGTGTAACACCCAGGCTATCGTTTACGCGTCTTTACTTTGCTGTTCGAGCACGCACACACTATAGTAAAAATGCTCTACCCTCAGGAAAACAATGTACGCCGCTTGTTGCGGAGTCAGCCATTTTGTTGGATAGGGAGTCAAATGTGAGCTTTTGTAAAAGCACCGAAACATCCCCTATCTGGTGCTGTAGACCGCATGCTGAAGTAAACTTTACATTGCATGGCGCCCGATTCGGTCGTGGCGACGTGTTTATTTGTGCTCTTTATTTTTCTCATTCTAATCTGATTAACATATTCATATTTTGTTAAGAATGGACGCTGTTTTTCAGTTTGTTCTAAGTAATTGCTGATAACAATAGGTCGTTTCCTTAGTTTTATTTTCAGTTGTGAGCATATTTTATGCCCTTTTGTTGGGTGAACAAAGACAAACACAGTGCTCTTGGCATGCTGCAAAAGTTAGAAACAGCCCTAATGTGAATGAATTTAAGCGGCGTTGCTCAGGTGGAGACTGTAACAAATGCTGTATTCGTTAATCATAACATTTCATCTTATGTGCCCTTTAACAGGTGAAAGAGCTCGTGCTCGACAACTGTCGGTCAAATGAGGGCAAAATTGAGGGCCTCACTGACGAGTTTGAGGAACTGGAATTTTTAAGCACAATCAATGTAGGCTTAACATCAGTCGCCAATTTGCCTAAGCTAAACAAACTCAAAAAGGTAATAGATGCTTTGTCTACTACTACAGTAGTATCAGAAATATATTTTTTGATTGTGTGAAGTCTTTGCCAGTCTTATTAATATGGCACTGAATCATGTTTTGCACAGCTCGAGCTTAGCGATAACAGAATCTCAGGGGGTCTGGAGGTACTGGCAGAGAAGTGTCCCAACCTCACCCATCTCAACCTCAGCGGCAACAAAATTAAAGACCTCAGCACCATCGAACCCCTGGTAAGATGTGTTTATAGTATCATTGGAGTCGTAACTAGTGGAGTTTAGTAACTTAGAACTTAGTGATGAATATATTTTAATTTATGTATACGCTCACTGATAACACTGTTGAGAGACTTTCAAGCACTACTATTATTAATATTCTTGAATAACACATCTAAATAATGATGTTGTTGCCTGACTTGGATTTTAGATGGCTTGAAATTATAAAAATAACAATTTATTATTGTTATTAATTTGTTCTCCTGTCTTTTTCCCAACAGAAAAAATTGGAAAGCCTCAAAAGTTTAGACTTGTTCAACTGTGAGGTGACAAACCTGAATGACTACAGAGAAAATGTTTTCAAGCTGCTCCCTCAGTTGACGTACCTCGACGGCTATGACAAAGAGGATAAAGAAGCACCCGACTCTGACGCCGAAGCTTACGTCGAAGGCCTAGATGATGATGAGGATGATGAAGATGGTATGTTTGTGAAGAGTCTGACTGACACAGTGCTTCGAGGTTTCTCAGTTTTTTAATTGAGATCAAGGAACTAATTTGTCATTGACCTAATTTTGTCTGCAGAGGGAGAAGAGGAGGAGTATGATGAAGAGGCAGCTCCAGGAGATGAAGATGAAGAGGAGGATGATGAGGAAGAGGGAGAAGAGGAGGAAGAAGAGGACATCAGCGGAGAGGTTAATGCCGGAAAATAATGATTATTCCTCTTATATTTACAAATATAGTACATGGTGTCAGTTTGTGCCTTTTTTGCACACTTTTAGGAAGAGGAGGAGGAAGAGTTAAATGACGGCGAGGTAGATGATGAGGAAGACGTTGGTAAGTGAATAGATGAACTGTTTGTAAAGTTCGAAGGGTTACCAGCACCTGTTGAATGCTGGTAAGCAGGGTGAGAGTAAGAGTAAACAAAACATCTGGTATCTCCTGTGTTGTGTTTACAGAGGAGGAGCGGGGTCAGAAGAGGAAAAGAGAGCTGGATGAGGAAGGGGAGGAAGGGGAGGAAGATGATGACTGAACATGCACTCCCCTATTGTGATCTGACCGTTTAACCCCTGTATATCTGTCCTATTGTCACTCTGCGATGGTTTGGGGAGGTATTCAAATGGTAGGGGGTGGGTTAGTATAAACGAGGACACATTAAATATTTGTTTTTAGCTTTTTTGTTGTTGATGTTGTTGTTGTTGTTTTCTTTTGGTTTGGTTTGTACTTTCAGTTTTATTCCCTTCATTTTCTCCAAAAGTTCTTCAAATGGCTGACAACACCGTGTGGAAAATTATTATTGTTGGAAAAAAAAGACCAGTATGCTCTTGTAATTTTTCCCGTGTCTTTACTGTTGATGCCTAAATGCTGGTGATGACTTGTGTATTAAAAAAGAAAAAACAACCAAAAACCTTTTAGAAGTGCATGGCTGACTCTATTTTAAAGTTGACTACTGGATTTCAAGGAAGAACATTTTCTAACCCACTTTTTTTATTGCATCTTTTGTGTATTTTGTTTCTTTGGTGTTTTCATCATCATCACCACCGCCACCACGTGACGTGCTATTTAAGCATGAAGAATGCATCATGATGTCTGCTTGGACATGCACGGCTCAACCTCTCAATGTGATTTTTATTTTTATTTTATTTTTTAATGTTCAGAGCCGAATGTCTGCCCTTGTCAAATGAGCCCTAAACCCCTTCTCCCTTTTGTGTGGATAGTTCAGAGGTTTTGTGTTCTTTGTAAATAATGACCAAATATATATTTTTTTTTCTGATTCCCTTTGATAATGGCAGACGTTTTCACAAATAATCTCAGTTGTAACCATTAACTGTAATAAAATGAATGAAAACGCAACAGGCTCTATGGTAGTTTGAAGTTCTCTGTTCTGACAGCCACAGAAAATCCACACATTGTAATTGGATGTGATTACATACTTGATCAACAGGTTATGTATTTGAAGTCTTGTGCAGAGATGGCAAGTGTATATGACCTCGCCACTGATATAGTGGGTTAATTGAATATATGAAGTGAAATTGCATTGTGAAGCTCAGGGAAAATAGCTTGTATTTTTTTGATGATACGTGGCTGAATATTGTGTAAATATTCAGAAGCATCATGCCAATTTAAATAGAACGCATACGCAATTTTAACTGAGCTGTGTCCAGTTGTCAGATCATACTGATTGAAATTTTTATTAAAAAGATGACTTCAGATTTCACATGAATAAAAGTCAGCATTTTTGTTCCAATGAATATTTACTGTACAAGCATGTGCCTTGCTAACATGAGCATGAAAGCATTGCGTATAGTGTAACTGAGGTGGTTCTTATGATCTGTGTGGACAGATTGCCAGTTTGTGAGTGTGAGATCGTAAGGTAAATTGAGCTAGTCTCAGTCTAGACAGTTAGATTTGATGTACCATTTGAGTAAATTCGGCTCAGCACATTACAGGATTCTTCCTCAGGAAGAGGTTTTTACTTAGTATGCAATTACCTTTTGTGCAACATGCTGTAGTTAGTTAATCATAATGAATAGTGAAATACAGAGTAGTGATTACCTATTAATGCTCTTCATTTTAATCAAAGACAAAGGTTAGTCTAATGTCTTGCCTCATAATTCTTTAGGCACTGTCAGCACGAAATATTTCAACATTAATTGTGCTTGTGTAGGCAGTGAGCGACTTGTCTAACACCAACATGAAAGGGGCCTGAGTAAAACATAAATATTCTGGCACTTCACACTGAACAAATTAATATCCACCTCAACATCTTCAATGATGCACAATTATCAGGCATAAGATTTGGAATGTAGCTACAGTCCACATAAACAACCTGTTCCTCACAGTTTGGCCCATTTAAGTAGGCCCATTGTTATTATTACCCAGTGTTCCTTAAAGGGATGGTTCACATTCAGTTGCCGGTTCCTATTGACTTCCATAGTATGGAAAAAAACACTAAGTCAATGGAGACCAGCAACTAAAGGTGAACTATCCCTTTAAGCACTACTGCTTGTGTCTGAACTGCTCTTTATCATGTTAAGAGGATGCTGTGTAGTCTGTTTCATGGCAAGTGTAGGCCTTGCTGTAGTACGTGCTGACATGAGCAAGACTGTGGCTTTACCGCCCCCTAATGTCAGAATCCCTAAAGTGCACTTTACCTCAAAACGCGCTATTACTATGCAATGATAAAGCAGAAGATGCTGGGGTTTGTGTTATTGTTTTATGAAGCAAAATATTTACGCAAAAAGTTTGAGGCTCATAGTGTTTTCATTAAACAGCAGGAAAAGGTCAAACACACAATGTCTGAATTCAGAGGTGGACCGACTTTGCTTTCCGTGCTGGTCGAGCGAGGTTATTTATAATCATAAATTCATTTGGGAATCAGATTATAAATATATTTTAAAAGGGATAACATTTTAACACATTAGCTCATAGGTGCTCCAGTAAATGGGCCGTCCAAACTTTTTTTTTTTTGAGCTGGTCCAGTTTGTTCTGGGCAAAATCAATGTTTTAAATCATAATTAATAGGGTAACTTCTAGAGAGCAGCACGCACTGAAGAGCGTGATTGCACCTGTAGTGTTTCGTGGCGCATAATGTATTTGCCTGCAAAGAATTTGTCCACTTTACAATAAAACATTTAAAAGGGTTTACACTGAAAGTTCAAAGCTGAATACAATGCACTTTATAAGAGTTTACATCCAATCTAAGAAGCTATTTGTTTAAGAGGTCAATAATTTGAATGTAACAGGACGACAAGGATACAGTAAATTCATGGTTACAAGCTACAAACCTGAAAACTCAAGACACTTAAAAGTATGAACTGAAAATGGAAATCAATAAATATGTTTGATTTAAAATGTAATAAAAAAGTAAAATTATGCTTTATAAATCACAGTAAGTCTTTAAAATGAAATATTGCCATTCATTCAACTTTCAGAATCAAAAAATGTAACATTTTCTGTGTCTCATTCTTTAATTCGTTGAGCGTTCTTTTTCTCACGTTCTCTTCAAACTTGACTTTCCTACGGAACTACAGTGTAGGTCTCTAATACGACGTCTATTACTAATTCATTTCATAATTGCATTTTACAATTTGTGGACTTTTATGTTTTCATCAGGTGCAAAGCGTGATTTTTCAAAATTAATTATGAAATTATTCTGAACTTTATTTAACTTAAAAACCCATTTGAATTGCGTTCATAAACTGACTTGAACATATTTCACATAAATTATGTGAAGCAACACAGTCCCCAACTTATATTAGTAAAACCCAATACTTCTAGATTTAGGAGCATGTCAATTGGATAAATATCATCTGTGGTGTAAGATTACTGCACTGTGGTGTTTGAGTTTCTACATTAAAACAGCACTGTGGGTCATATCAAAATGATGCAATAGACCTAGTGTTTACATGAGATAACAGCTTGATGGGTGAAGCATGTCTGTTTGACCTTATTAAAACACGTTTATTAAGCTATTTAGAACAAGGCTAAGTAGCACAAAGAAAAAAAATGAAATAAATAATTACTAATAATTAAATCTAGTGAAGTCTACAATAATGAGATGATAATGCAATGAATAGCTTGTACCAAAACCAATCCATATAGAGAGAATCAGTCCACTGCAGGTGGACCAACAGTGTGACTGAAGCTCATGTAATGGGACAGTTTTCACAGGGTTAGTGAATCATCACTCCAATAAAGTCGACTTAGCACACAGCAGCTGTGGGGTCAACACTGGGGGTCAGAGTGAAACACTGCTTTATGAAGACAAGCGCTTGCTCTCCTGTGGTCTTGGTTTTAGGAAAAGGAAGCCTGTGTGTTTCAGCAGCGCTCAGGGCTTATAGTGTGTCACTTTAGGAGATCAAAAGACAGCACAGATCCAGTGTCAAATGCTGCTACCATTGCTGTTGCTGTTGTTATTGTTGTTGATGTTTGGGCTGTTCCTTATGTTATTGAGCTCCAGCTCAAGCTGTCGAATCTTAATGTCCTTCTGCGTAAGTTCAAAAGGAAGCCTGTGTGTTTCAGCAGCGCTCAGGGCTTATAGTGTGTCACTTTAGGAGATCAAAAGACACAGCACAGATCCAGTGTCAAATGCTGCTACCATTGCTGCTGCTGTTGTTATTGTTGTTGATGTTTGGGCTGTTCCTTATGTTATTGAGCTCCAGCTCAAGCTGTCGAATCTTAATGTCCTTCTGCGTAAGTTCATCCTTCAGTCGCCGCAATTCCTCCTGCTGCCTGAAGAACATCCGCAAGAGCTGTAGAGCATAAAGCACGGGGTTACACACATATAAACACCTCTCAGCTAGAAACTGTATCGGCCAAACTGTCCTTATAACAACCATAATAAATCTTAACAGAATCGTGGTAACACCTCATTCTCTGTACGGGGAGGCACGTTTTCTAGCAGGTCAATCCCATTGACCACTCCACCCTTCTTGTCCTTCACAGGGGCCTTGAACACCAGTTTGTTTGCTCTGTTGTAGCCCTCTTTTAAAGACATGAGCACTGGACCTAGACCATTGTGCGCATGCAGACATGGATTAGTTTTATTTCAGCATTTGTCTTTTCAAATATTTTTATTCTGAAAATAACTGCAGGTCTTTACCTCGGTTGATTCCACTGAGCCACTCATCAGCAGACAGAGCAGGTTCTGTCCCAGGAGTCATGGGATAAATGTCCTCCTGATATGTCTCTGACTGCAAAGAAAGAAGGTTTTCATTTACTGTTATTTTTATAGTTAGATTTAAGACCTTCATTAGTATTTGGTGATGTGTTAGGCTCTGGGCAGGTAAATGTTGAGTCTAAACTAATATGTGGAATCCAGAGGCTCACAGAAAGAGCACTATTATCACTGTGTTCATTGTGCAGATGTGTAATTAGTGTACTGTGAGAAACTATGGATGAAACGGTAACTCAGTATCTGAGTGAAACTAATCCCAGGTATTCAGGGATTTATTCTTACAGGTTCATGAGGGTTTGCTGAACTGCAAGGCTTCTGCTACAAATAAAGCAAAATGACTAATGTTTTGGCTATGAGTAAAACTAGACGTTTTTAATACATTCAATGTCTGCAACCTCCAAATATGATGATGTCCTTCCTAAATTATAAAGGCAGCTAAAAGTACAAAGAATACGTATTGTGTGATAAATAAATGAAATAAAATAAAATAGTACATGTGTTGTTTCCCAAATTAAATTATAGTAATATGAATTTTATATTTGGTTTGCAAATTCACTAAAATAAAAAATAAGAATACTATTGAAATATTACAATATTAAACATTAAATTAATATTTACGTTCACTGCATATTTTTTTTCTACCAAATATTAGAGAAACATTTTTAATTTAAATGTATTTGTATAACACATAAATACATAAATATAATTTCAAAGCATCTTTCCAGAAAATAGTTCCATAAAAATGGCAAGTTAAAGGCAACAGTGCTAAAAAAACAGATATAACACAAATAAATACAATTCTTGAACATATGTATGTTGCAAGGAAAGAAAAATATATGCATATAATATGCATAACTATATGCATACAGTTAAATACGCTGTAATTTTATTCCTCCCAAATTTACAGAACACCCTCTTGTCGTGTCCTGATTTTAAAACCCCTTGGTTAAACTGTTGGCTGGGCAACATCTGATTCGCCCTCTATCATGAATGATCGTTATGGATTGATAGGTATCAGGACCCTTTGCACTGAAACAGAGCTGGCGCTGGATTTATTTGGGTGTGTTGTAAAATTGTGGTGTTGATAGGAGGCTGCCCCTCCCACTGTTTTTAAAGCCTTCTGATAATGGGCCAACCTGCCACTGCCCATTGTGTACAGAGTACAAAACACACGTGCTGTGTCTCACATGGAGGTTATTACATGGCTCACTACTCTCGTCTCACTGAGGCGGCAGTTACACCAGCAACAAACAGCTGATGGATTCCTCCATCCTTTCAGACTGCTTGCTTAAAAAAAATGCCATTTTGGCAGGATACTCAACTATAGGCCTCACACAAGGGATGTGTCTAGCACAAATTTTTCTTCATCCTTCAGTGGAACTCTAAACGATCCATTTAACTGGGAACCATGGACTGTGATCTAATAGCTTCATGGTGCTTATGCTCACCCTTCTAGGCACAATCATAGAGATTGGCTCAATCAGGCCCTTTAGAGTGACCAGCTTATAAAACCTGAAGACTTCACACGCTCCTACATCCAGCCCATGCTTCGGCATCACTCCTATCAGAATACACATATGAGAGAGGAACATATGAGAAGTTTAACATTAGACACTGGTAATTGGCATGCTTTGTTGGTTTTGTCTTGATTTTGAACAGACCATTACACAACATAGAGTCCTACTGAGAAAATAAAAGTGCTAAGAATATACATACAAAATTCCAGGTTTAACCCTAGACTGCATAAAGACATGAAGTCAAATTACTTGATAGGGTGTGATTTTTGGAATATTTCGTTAATTCGAAAATTAAGATAAAACAAGGATGCCTTTCTATGAAGAAAACCACCAAATCCAATATGGGCCATTCTGACCCCCTTTATCAATCTGTGAAGGTTGTTTTGGTTTCTGTATTGGGTTTTTTGCATTCTAGGGTTAATTTAGAAAGTTTCCTACACCATTTTACAGATGTTGCTGGTGTAGTGTGATCATCAAAGGATGTGGATTCAGCTTTACCGAGCCCTTTCTGTGGTGCAGGGGACCTGAACTCCATGAGATACTGCAGGTAGGGTTTCTCCAGGGTGATCTCGTAGTACCGGATGTTCCCATCACCCTGCAATTACACTGTCTAAGTCAGTTCAAAGACAATTACAGTTTTTTTCTAAGGTGATTATTTGTGATGGCAGTAAAAGCAACTTAACGTATGATGCCCTATAATGTCTTTTCAGTATATAACTGAAAGATGATATTTATATATCTAATATATTCCTAAATATACACTACCATTCAGCAGTTTGTGGTTGGGATTTGTTAAAATGTTTTAATGTTTTTGAAAGTAGTCTCTCATGCTCACCAAGGCTTAAAACACGATCAAAAGTAATAATGTGAGATATTATTACAATTTCAAATATTGTAATAAAAGTTTTCTATTTGAATTAATGCTGTCAAATGATTAATCGCGATTAATCGCATCCAAAATAAAAGTTTTTGTTTACATAATAGATGTGTGTGTGTATTGTGTATATTTATTATGTATATATAAATACACACGCATGCATGTATATATTTAAGAAAATAGTTTTGTTTATATATAAAATATTAATATTTATATATAATATAAATTATATTTGAAAGACAGTAAATAATGTCATTAGTTTTACCATCAGTTCAAGCCCGAAAGGGGAACAGAGTCGCGTGACAGACACAGTGATGAAGCTGGTATGTGTGCAGTACACAAGCCACGGTTAAGACAGTTGACTCCACTGTGATGCGACCCCCCCTCTCTCTCTCTCGCACTCTCTCTCTCTCTCGCGCTCTCTCTCTCTCTCGCGCGCGCTCTC